TGGAATATGGGAGCATTTGAATGGAGGAATGGGGGTGAAGGATGTAATTATATTTTAATTTTAAAATGCAAAAAAATAAATTAATAAAAATCATTAAAATAAAAAGAAAGAGGAGTGATATGATATACTGAGATATAGACCATGTTCAGGGCTGTTAATGTAGTATATGGTGAATTGTTCTGTTTTCCTTTAAATTAAGTATTGTTTATCTTATTGTGCTAAACTTATACATTAAAATCTGTCAGAACATAGTACACATGGTGTTTCAAACATTTGACTTGGATCTTAAAAGATATTCTTTTCAACCAATGTGAGTACGACGCCATTTATTTTAAATTATTTGTCATATTGTAAAGGCACATCCTTTGTGTTAGACTGACTTTCTTCACTAGGATTGAAAGTGACAAATGAGAGCAGTCAGGCTGTCTAGTGTGACCAAGTGAATGAATGCATACAGTGCCCAAGAAAAGGAAGGCATGCTTCCACACACTATTCCAAACTGTGGAAGCCTGCAAACTGCCTTTACAGTAGAATGTAGTCCTGGCCTTGCACTTGGGTCTCCCCCAACTCCTGTCTTCCCTGTGACACTATCTTGACCTCCAGTTTGTCTCTCTCCACATTGGGAATGATTCATCCTTGGCAGAGATTCTCTGGGGAGTCGGGGTGGCAGGGAGTTTGTTATGTGTTGGAAGGAGTCAAGACTTCTGGTCTCTGAAGACCCACTGAGGTCCTTTCATATTCCCATAGGCTGAGTGAAACTTTTCTAGGCTGGGTTTCTGAAAAGGCCCATGGGAAAGGCTGGTAGGAGGGGATGGCATAGATAAGGGACAAAGAATCTCTTCAAAATATCCTGTGTGCTTGCCCCTAAACCATCTTTTGGGATTCACATACAAGTTCCAGGCAGGAGAAGCATCTCTATTGTCCTACTCTGGACACCTCACAGAGGTACCAGCCCAGGTAACAAGGATCCAAGAGGCAGAGGATTAAAAAGACTTAGCAGCAGTAATTTGTAAACTGTCCTGTCTTGGTGTTGGGGTATAGAAACAAGAGTCTTAACAGCTGCCTGAGTTTTTTTCCCCAGAATGCCTTGACTTTCAGCCTCCCAGATGCTCACTTCCAGTACTATGTTAAAGGCCTTCAATAAATGCTGATACTGATTCATAAAGAAAACATGGATGTGTCTGGAAAAAGAGGGAGGGAAAGACAGAGAGAGACAGAAACAGAGAGAAGGAGGCAGAGACAAAGCCAGACTAGGATTTACTGGCCTATTGTGGGTGAGAGCCAAGATGCTGTTATACACACATCACATCACAAGACATCATCCACTACAAGAAAGTACGAGCCTTTGTTGATACCCTAATGCTGAGGTGGGGGATCCCTGCTACAGGTATCTGGCTTCTGCAATTGTGCCCTGCTTCATCAACAAAAGATCATACAAATTATTCCAGTGATCCCAAATACAACGATGTTCTAGAGTTCACCATGGTTTTTCTTTATTCATTCAGTATTATTTGCGAGAGCCACTTATATTGCTGTGTGTATTTCTAATTCCTAGCAGTGAGTTCGCTGTCTCCTTCTACTCCATCTTGCCTGCCTTCTCCGCAGTTATGAACAAGCAGACAAAAAAAAAAAAAAAAACCCTAACTAAAATTAATGCTACAGGAAACATTCTGATACATGATGGCTCACAAACAGGTTGGAAAACTTGTAGACCCTGGGGAGGAAGTTCACTAGATTGTGTATCATGAGCCTATGTAAATTTTTTATTATAGCTTTCCACCCAATTGCTTGTTCATTTTGTGTATGCAGGGTCAGGGGCAGTGCATGCCATGTGGGTGTATCTGGTGGTCAAAGGACTCTCATTCTACCATGTGGGTCCCAGAGGTCAAACTCAGGATATTAGGCTTGGCTAAAAGTGAATTTACCACTGAACTATCTTATGGCCCTGAGCCTATAAATTCTTAATTTCCACTTTCTACACTCTTAGCAGCATTTCTGAGGATTTCTTATACCTCTCAGCCCAGCAAACACCGGACACTTTCTGCTTTAGGGACTTATACTAAAAACAGTGAATGCAGTGGCTGGCTTCATTTTCTTCCTTTTTTGTTTCCTTCCTCTAGTCCCTTTCTTCTGATTATTCCTCTAGTAACCTCTTTCTGTTCATATCCTCCTCCCTTTTTGCATCAAAATTACTACTCATTGGTTTAACTTGTTTCTCCTTTGTTCTGTTTACATTTTCTTGTCAGTTTTAGACAATGTAATTGTCTATTTTACCAATTTTCCATCTGCTTACTAGCATTATTTGAGCTATCTTGTTGACCAGAGAGGCCTATATTTTGATGGTTCCCTGATATTGGTATTCTACATATTTATTCTAGCTTAGTCCAAGACAGCAAACTTATTCTCCTACACTTTATTCTCTATAGCTAGGTATTTCTTTTTCATACTTTCAATCCATCTGGATTCCAATTTAAAGTGGAATTAGATGCAAATAAGATTTGTAGTTTCATTGGAGGCATTTTCTTACCTCAAACAAGTAAACACTCTTTCTCTTGATAGATATTGCCAGGATTGGGGGGGTGGTAGTCTTATGTTTGATTTTGAATAATTCAGTACTTTGAAACCTTCTAATAAGTTTAATCTGTTTCTAAGTTGTTTCAATATTGCACTTTAAAAATAACTATGGTATGGTGTGGGAAGGGCTCAGAGTTCCCTAATTCCCTAGCTAAAATATTATGGAGTGTTGATGATTGCTGGATAGGGAGACTCAGTTTTCTTTGTGAATGAGGTCTCTGGTTGACCTGGTTGATAGCATTCATTGGATGGCCTCAAACCTATGAATATGTAGGGAGCACAACCTAGAATTGGTGGGTAATAAAAAATGAGGACATGGAGTTGAGAGGAAGGTAGGTGAGGAGTGTATCTAGGAGGAGTTAGGGGAAGATGTGAGAGTGGAATAAAATAAAAGTACAATATATATATATATATATATATGTATATATATATATATATATATATATATGCATATACATATGGAATTCTCAAAGAATTAATACAAATACTGTATTTTAGAAATTACTATGTGATAATTGCATATTGCAGGAGAAAAAGATCTATTGTCAATAAAATGGAAAAAATACTGTTTAATTGTCCCTGAAATTTGGGGAGGACAGCTCTACTCCTTCTTCTTTTGTAGAATAATATAGGTTAGGGGCTGAAGAGATGGCTCAGCTATTAAAGGCTAGGATCACAACCAAAAATATATGAAGATTAGTTTAGTGTCACACTTTCTTTTTCCTTGAGGAATTTTGGGAGACTTTTTAAAATAATACTTTTTGCTGAATCACTGAGCTTTCAAATAAAATTTCATGGCAGAGATGATTTGCAGAGGTGATGTCATAGAAAATCTTCAACTCATGACCGTAAAATTTGGTCATTTATATTACCTTTTACACTTTTATTAACCCTGAAAACTTTCCTTTTGGTAAATACTACATTTTATTTTGGTGCAAACCCATGTATATTGTATAGAAGAGGTTTTAAAATATCATGGGACATCTACTGAAAATCTTTGACACCATTTCAGTATCTACATGAGCTCTTTCTCGTGACACAAAAAGAGGTAATTTTTCCAATTAATCAATGAATTTCCAAAGACAGAATAAAAACAGACAGAAGAATATAGATGTTACATGTAACCTAAACATAGTATATATTTGTAAAAACATTAAATAATTTAAAACATACACATTTTAATTTCTTTTTTTAAAAGATCTATTTATTAATTATACACACAGTCTTCTGTCTGCATGTATGCCTGAAGGCCAGAGGAGGGCACCAGGTCTCATCATGGATGGTTGTGGGCCGCTGAGTGGTTGCTGGGAATTGAACTCAGGACCTTTGGAAGAGAAGCCAGTGCTCTTAACTACTGAGCCATCTCTCCACCACCCCCACCCCCATTTTAACTTCTAATATGATAAAAAGCTGTTGTTAAACCAACTTAGAAACCTCTTAAGAGCTTTAGTTTTTATTGAGTGTAAAAAGTGAGGAAGAATTCCTAAGAGTAGGAAGGGCTTCAAGAGAGGAGTACTCTAATATATTTTAGAAAATACATTTATATCGGGATTGAACTAATTACATGATATCCTTGTTTAATCGGTCAATGTGATGTGTGCCAAGACATGATTTTTTTGACACTGAATTATTCTTGTTATTTAAGAGATAAGCCAAAACCACTTGACCACAAAAACTTTAAGTATGCCTTTTTCATTAACGAAGTAATTTTACTGTGAATTTTAAAATTGGCATGCCTGGTGAAATGAGCACATACTTCTTTTTTCCACAATTATTATTCAGAGTCATTCAATTATTTTAATTATGTGTATGTGTCTCTACTTGTGGATATGTGCATATGTGCAGGTACCCGCAGTGGCCAGAGGGGGTGTCAGATCCCCTGGAGCTACATGCAGTATTAGCTGCCCGATGTAGGTGCTCAGAAATGAACTCTGGCTTTCTACAAAAGCAGTCTCCAGGTCCAATCCATGAACATTCTGTTTTGTCTGTTGGCTAGTTTGGTTTGTTCTTTTGAGACAGGGTCCATATGTGTAGCCCTTGACTGTCCTGGAACTCACTGTAGACAGGCTGGCCTCAAACTCAGAGATTCACCTGCCTCTGTCTCCAGAGTCCTGGGAATAAAGGCATGCACGACCACATGTGGCAGACCATGGACATTCTTACATGGATTTAGATGAAGATTGAATTAACATGTTGAAGTTGTCTAAGTTTTCTCATCTTTTCAATATTTTTGAATAATACTAAGTGATTGGTTTTTCAAATATTAGTAGGACTCATTTATAAGCTCATTGGGGTCACCATTTTAGGGAGGATGAGACCTAGAAATGTGCAGTAAGTTTTTCAAACACAGACCTTTTAAACTGCTGTTGGTCTATGCCAGAGCAGTGTTTTCATCTGAATTTCCAATCTCGTCAGCCTCAGAAGCCATGCCTGGTCAGAACTACAGCACCATGTCAGGATTTATCCTCTTTGGCTTCTCAGCCTTCCCACAGCAGATGTTGCCTGCTCTCTTCCTGCTGTACCTGCTGATGTATCTGTTCACACTCCTGGGGAACCTGCTCATCATGGCTGCTGTCTGGAAAGAACACAGACTCCACACACCCATGTACCTCTTCCTGTGTGCCCTCTCCATCTCTGAGATTCTCTTCACCGTGGTCATTACTCCCCGCATGCTGGCTGACCTGATGTCCACTCATCGATCCATCACATTTATAGCTTGTGCTAACCAATTATTTTTTTCCTTCACATTTGGCTACACTCATTCCTTCTTGCTCATGGTCATGGGTTATGACCGCTATGTGGCCATCTGCCGCCCCCTGCATTACCATGTACTCATGAGCCTCCAAGGTTGTGCTCGCCTTGTGGCCTGGTCTTGGGTTGGGGGTTCACTCATTGGGATGACAGTGACATTAATAATTTTCCATCTCACCTTCTGTGAATCTAATGTGATCCATCACTTTCTCTGTCATGTGTTTTCCCTCTTAAAGTTGGCCTGTGGGGAAAGGGCAGCTTCTGTCACCATTGTTGTGATCCTGGTGTGTGTCACACCCCTCATAGGATGCCTGGTCCTCATTGTCCTCTCCTATATCTTTATTGTGGCTGCCATCTTGAGAATCCCCTCTCCTGAGGGCCGGCACAAGACATTCTCCACATGTGCATCCCATCTCACAGTGGTGATTGTGCACTATGGCTTTGCCTCCATCATCTACCTCAAGTCCAGGGGACCCCATTCACTATACACTGACACCCTCATGTCTACCACCTATACAGTCTTCACCCCCTTCCTTAGTCCAATTATTTTCAGCCTCAGGAATAAGGAGCTGAAGAATGCTATAAATAAAAGCTTCCACGGGATTTTCTGTCAACGAAGTTCCTAAGGGTCAGTTCTGTGGCAAAGTGAGAAGGGTGCAGGTTTCCCTAGAACTGTTGAAATGATTCACAGAAGTCTGTGTTTTAATCACACTAGTGATTTCTTTCCACGCTTCTGCCTTAGTCTCAAGAGGTTGTGCTGCCTTGTGGTCTGGTGTGACCATTCCCCCCCCCCAACCATCTTCAACTATGATACTATCATGGATGCATGTTATTTTCTACATTTGATGAACATGAAACACTTTCATTATTTGTGCACTTTCTATTTAATTCTATAATTTTTAGCTGACATTCTCAACTTCAATATATCAGCCCCTCTGTATCTGTTGTCCCTGTTCAGAAGCCCAACTTCTTAACCTTTCCATTACAATATTTTATTTTATCCTTCAGATTCACAAATTGACAGTGATGAAAAGCAGTTCTTTTATGGAAATTTGTGTCTGATACTTAACCCTGTGATGTATAAATTCATAGGGACAAGAGAATATAATAGTCACACAGTTGGTAATATACATGATTCAGATTAAATGAGCAAATGTAAATATAACCAAGTCTACCTCACTGCTAACAGAAAAAAAAAAGTGCTTAAAGCTACTGGATTAGTTTTTCATTTCTCATAATAGAAATATTTTTAAGTAGGTGATTTATAAACCTTATTTTCTTCATATAGTTCAGAAAGTTGGGAAATCCAGGGCTATGCAAACAGCAGATTAAATGTGCAGTGAAGGCTACCTTCTTGGCTTATACCCAGTGCCTTCTAGTTGTGTTCCCACTTAAAAAAATAGGTAAATAGTCTTACTTTCATTTCTTTTATTTGTTAAAATTCATTTGTGTGTGTGTACATGACATAGGGGTGCATATGCCACAGAGGTTAGATAATAACTATGTAGAGTCAATTTTTCCTTCCACCCAGGGTCCTGGGAACATATTAAAATCATCGGGCTTGCGCAGAAAGCACCTTTTCCTGCCAAGGCACCTCACCAGACCAACTCCCTTAGTTCACTAATCATTAATTAATTTTATTAATTAAATTTGTTTTTTAACACTTCATTTTCATCTGTGTATAAGATGTATTTTAGTGACTCATACCTCCAACCTTTGTAAGTTTCACCGCCTCCCCACAAATAATGTCTTTGTTTTGTGACCCCCTGAGTTTAGCCAAGGCCATCTCTGTGACCATAGGTTTGGAAATATGCACTAGAGCTTGGTGGGGTTACTAGTGAGTACACAACTGAAAAAAAGTGATTCCTCTTTGCACAGAATCGTTCAGTAGCAGATAACTCATCGGGAAAGGAAGGGTCACGTGAGTTCCTTGCCAATTCATAATGGACTGTTCACAGCATCACATTTGTGCAGGCCCAATGTTGCTGCAGTAGCTCTGTCATCCCATTGGTGATATTTTATAGATAAAATTTATATGATCAAAATACTGTAAATTTTTTGTGGGTGCATCAATTATTCCACATTCAGGAGGCTGAGAAGATTGTGCATTTGAACCTATTGTCTGGATTACATAATGAGACATATTCTTAAAATAGAAAGAAAGAAAAATACTGATTTCAACACTATCCAAAGACTACATGTATCAAAACATCACATTAGGTCTGGGAAGATGCCTGAGTAGGTAAAGATGCTTGCCACCAAACCCAGTGACCTGAGTTTCATCCAGGTAATACGTGGTGAAAAGAAAGAGTTGTCAAGGATGCAGAGGATAATGTCTGGAGTTCTTATTTGAGGTAGTATATAGATAAGGATCCACAGATTAAAGGAAAATATTACACTAGAGGTGTATCTTCTGTCTGTATGATACAACCAAGAGCAATAGCAATATCCTATGTTTTAGGAGTCTCCTAGATGAGCCCAATCAACAAATAAAAATGGGCTTATTTTAAAACTTTCTATACTCCTCCAGACTCATTTGCTGATACCTAATAAGAGTAAAAGCATCTTGGAAAACATTATCTAGACACCTGATTCATTTTTCTCAAAATACTAGATAGTGAGAAGCCTAACCCAGCCTGGATAACTCAATATTGATGGGGTGGGATAAGGTAATGTTCATGCATAAGTGCATGAATTCATACATAAATGTATGAATGTGTGCATGTATGCATGTTTGGGGTGCAAGTACATGCACTCATGATGTAGATGTATTTGTGTGGATGCACTAGAGGAGGACATTAAGTATTTTATCTAATTGCTTATTGAATAAGCCAGGTTCTGTTAAATACCCTGGCTCAAAAGAATTGTTTCATTGAACATGGTGTAATGCATGCCCCCTCTATCCTCATGTTTCTTGCCCCTACAATTCTGGGGCTATAGGCATGTGCAACTATGTCCATATTTTTATGTGGGTGCTGGGGATTTTGTAGTTACACTGCAGCACTTTTATCCATTGAATCATATGCCTAAGTCCCTGATGAGATTTTTTTTTTTTTTGAGGGTGGTATCTAAGTTGAGATCTAAAGGAAAACAGAGAGAAAGATTACAGGAAGCATGAGAGAATGAGGTTCCCCAAGTAAAAGAAGGAGAGAGAGATAAGAGAAGGAAAGGGGGGGCAAAGGAAGGAAAAAGAGAGAGAATGAGAGGGGTATACAGAGAGAACCAAGGAAAATAATAGATGTTAATGGATGATAGATAACTAGTAGGTAAGTGTGTGTGGGGGGAGGGTTGTGAGAGAGAGAAGGGGAGGAGAGAGAGAGAGAGAGAGAGAGAGAGAGAGAGAGGTGCATTTCTGGGTCCCTAGCCACCCTCCCTGGACATACAGGACCATGAATCCCTCATCCCCAATCAGGTTCAGTGGAAAGGCACCTGGGAACCTGCCACTGGGGAAGGCACCTACAGAGATAAAACTCCTATCCCCCCATTACAGCTTTAGTGGCCTACACACAGGGCTCTGCAGGCTGCACTATAGCCCATCCCCAAATTTTTCCACGAAGGTAAGTGGAGACCTTTCTTTCCAGGATAGATAGGGCTGTGTGTAATGGACAGAAGACAGATTAAAATAGAGCACAGAGCAGCTTTGAAGTCTAGGTCAGGAAAGGAAGGTGAAAGAATGTATAGTGGGTCATCTACTGATACAGGGACCCAGTTCCTAGCTACGAGGGCCTGTCCTGGTCCCAAGTGGCCCACTATATCTATTTGCTCCCCATCACTTCCCCTTTCTGTGCTAGTCATTCCTTCCAGGCTTTATTCTGGGGTGATGAGTTTTCATGCTGTGTGGAACAGAGAACATTTCCGAGGCAGGGCAAGATCAAGTGTCTGTCCTGTGTGTTTGTGTCACCTGTATTGTGTGGATGTGCTCATAGTGTGTGTGTGTATGTGTGTGTGTGTGTGTGTGTGTGTGATGCACCACTATTAGATTCTCATTATTGCCACAACAAACTATTATAAAGATCATGACATAAAACAAAAGAAATTAACCCTCATAGCTCTGAAGACTAACAGTCCTATACCAATGTTATCAACAGGACCACAAGCCCTCTAAAGACCTAAAGTCCTATACTAATGTTATCAACAGGACCACACACCCTCTAAAGACCTAAAGTCCTATACCAATGTTATCAACAGGACCACACACCCTCTAAAGACCTAAAGTCCTATACCAATGTTATCAACAGGACCACACACCCTCTAAAGACCTAAAGTCCTATACTAATGTTATCAACAGGACCACACACCCTCTAAAGACACAGGAGAACTTTTTCTTGTGTCTACTAGCTTCTAGTAGCAACATCATTCCAATCTCTGCCTTTAGCTTTATGGGCTTTTTATGACTATGCGACTTCTATTATTTTTAAAATTTTTAAGCAACAATTTATTGTGAGTATACATGCATGATGTGTATGAGTATAGGCATGCATGTTCACAGGTAGAAATCAGAGGCCAGCTTGTGAGAGTCAGGTATCTCCATTTACCTACTATGTGGGTCCTGAGGATCAAACTCAGTTAATCAAGTTTGACAGACAATACTTTTACCTACTGAACCACCTTATTAGCCCCTACTTTTTTCATGAGGATGCCAGTCTCTGTATATAGATCACATTACAATTTAAGATGAGCTTATCTTTACCTTGGTTAAAATCTGCAAAGATCCTATTTCCAAATAAAGTCACAATGTGAGGTTAAAGATAGACATGTCCCTTTGGAAGATTTATTCAAAACAAAACCCTTGCATGTACTGCTATTTGTCCTTAGTTTATTGAACTCTCAGATAAGTACTAAGTTGCTGGTCAGTTCTCAGTAGGTGTGTGTAGAATGAGTAATTATCTCCATTTCTGTCTGTATATTAGTATAACCAACAGTGTGCACATCAGAAGCAGGGTATGGCTCTCTGCTTGACTTTTTCTGCTTTTGTACTTGTGTTTACAGTTTTAGATCTATGACACATACCTACAGAGCAGATAGAACTGCATCAGTTTTGTGATGTTCCCCTTGAAAAGGGCAGGCACTGGGATCAGATTGGTGAAACACCTCCATATGAACCACGTTGGGGCTCTGCCTGGTGAAAACATTGGCCTTTATTTTTCTCCAGATCCAGTTTCCTGTAGGTGTTTTGAAAGGCTCTCATGGAGAGTCTTTCAAAGAAGTTGTCCTGAGAAATTGTATAATGGAGCATATACCAGAGACAAAGGGAACCAGGGAACATTTCTGTAATTTTAGTGACATTTGTACATTTAGGAGCAGGACTTCTGGAGACTGTAATTTTGAGGTTTGGGAGACATACAGGAACAGAAGAAAAATTAGTCAGGAGTCAAGGTGAGATCCTGGAATGTTGTGGTACCCTATGGATAACTTGACTTGTGAGTGACAGTCAGCGTATAGACATCCGTCAGCAATGGGAACAGATGGTGGTGATTCTAACAATGCCAGCTAGTAGGTTTCATACTGAGAACTTGGTATAGTATTCTCTCTAGGATCAGGTATTTGGTTATCAAAATACTCAATTTAAATCTGTGCATGGAGCCACAGGTCTGCATGATTCCACAATTTGCAATTTACTCAGAGA